AAGTGTAATGATATTAATAAAAACAGTATTCTTCCACCAAACAATGTAGTTCCTCAGAATCAGTTGTGGTTGCAACAAAGTGGTTGCCAAGCAACAGACAAACGTAAACAAAGATGTGTGTTTGTAGAGTAATTTACAACAGCTTCGAACACGGCTCAGCCAATCAGAATCAAGGACCGGAACTCTCCGTTTTATAAAAGAAAGTAAATCTCTCACTGCTCTTGACTAAATCACTTTTGTAACTTTAATAAGAAGAAATATAAATTTAATTTATGCAGTGAAGAATATGCAGTGTTTTTTACATTTGATTATTTTATACAATGTATGTAGTATTTTTTCTACTGTAGTTTTTTGTCTTATTGCTTGTAATTAGTTTCTTATTTTTATTTAATCGCTGACTGTTTGCAGTGATTTTTTTTTTCTTTTCTAAATTTAGGCTAGTATTAGGGTCAATGACATGATGCCTAAATTTTCTGTCCGATTGCATTTTTTCAGTTAAAAATTGGTTTAAATGCATAAAAAAGATGCCATATATAAAAAGTACCTCTCCCACATATGTACCAACTTGAACTTTTCAAAGAACATTAGTTATTTGTAATTTTTCTGTTATTCAACAGCGACCAAGTAATCCTGTGTAAAATTGCAAAGCATTTGTATTTATATTTCCAACATAATATAAAAACAAACTTTGTCCGATGATGCCCGTTGTATGAAATATCATGTGGTGCGACCATAAAGAAGCTACCGTTTTGGGACTTTTATGTTGAAATACATTCAAAGATAGGACTTTGCATCATAAACCAATTTGCTAAGGACCCATGGAAGCATCAAGCAGGTTTATAAGTCTCTTTCAAATTTGGAAAAAAAAAAAGAACTTAACGGCTGGTATGTAGTTACCACATTCGGATATCATGTGGTATGACCTCAAAAAACAATGAATATTAAGTTATTTCTGCAAGTATTTATTTTCATTATAAATTTCATAGTGACCTTTTGTGGGAAGCTAGCTTGTTTTGTTTACGTGGCCAATTCTGTGCTTGTAAATTTTGACTGAATTTGAAAATATCATGTGGTGCGACCACTGCAGAGTGTATTCCATTATAGATATATGTCCCAGATTGGCAGTTTTTGTGCTTTAATATTCAATTGATGGTTTATATACATACAATATCTTATTTTAGTATAATTTGGAATAGATTTTTATGGAATTTGGGCATTTCAGACAGTTTATGTTTAATCTTTGTACAATATGAGAAAAAATGCAAAAAAAAAAAAAAATTCAGAGCATGTAATTTTAGTTTGGTAATTATGCATTTATTAGTAATTTATTATTTATTTATTAATAACTATTTAAATCTATTCTGCCAGATTCCACTGCCAAGCAAAGTAAAATAAACGCTCACCATAGGCAGCATGTTAATTCTGACCCTGCACTCTAGCACAAACTCCAGATGTCATTTTCTACTATAAGAAAGATGTTCATGTTGTTATCTCAGAACCTGAGCCAGCAACCTCCCCCTACTCTAAATTGACCTTTCGCAAAGACCTGCCCCCCTTAGTTACTGTTGCTACGTTCGACAAACCATGGCTAAGTCCCCTTGTGAAAAAGAAGTGCATTGTATTGAATGTGCACTTGTAATTTACTTCAAATCTTTAAAGTATATTTTTAAAAACTGTGCTTTCAGATATTAATATTAATGAAATAAAAGGCCACTTAAGTGCACTTAAACAGAGACACTTTCATGACAATGTTTCTTAACACACTTAAATGCACTTTTAAAAAGTGTACTTTGTAAAAACGTCAAATTAAAAGTTTTACTTTGTAATTTTAAATAATTATAATGTAATAATATTTTGTCATGTTTTAAAGAAGTACACTTATTTTTATGTGTTAACTAACATTCTAACGCATGCAACTAAAACGTCTCAGGTTACTTATGTAACCATGGTTCCCTGAGT